CTCTGCCCAAAGTATTCTTTAGATAGACTTATTTTACTTTTCAAGTGAGGATCACAGGGCAGAATGAATGAAGAGAAATGTAGTTTGCATGAAAGACAGAGAGAAAACATTTCCAGTGAGGAATATCAGAGGAAAATGCAGAAAATAACACTCTTCTTCACTGCAGATGATTCAAGGTAAAGCATTTGAAACCCTCCAGCTGTACACTGCCAGAGGATGGAAGAGTCCTTGGAGGAAGTATTACTAAATATCCTCTTCTGTAGAGAACTACTTTTGATTTGAGGTAAGGAGGTAGGATATGGGGCTAGATAGACTGTTGGTTCATTGCCATGTAATTTTCTGTGTCGGTTGCTCTTCAGCACGTAGGGTAATTTAGAAACACAGTGAGACTGGGAAAAAACCCATTCTAATACCACACAATAGCAGTATAGATATTCTGAGTTAAAAAAGAAAAAGGAAAGAAAAAAAAAGAAAAGGAAAGCAATTCTATTTATGTATTTACTCTTTAAAATAGCAGGTCTGGAAGTGGACTTAAAATGTAGCTATTAGTTTAATGATAAAGCCAAGTAATTGATTTGACTAATTTAGTTACCAAACCTAAATACCCACACGTTCTACATTACACTAAAAAGAAATTTTATTGTTGCAAATGATTTCTTCACTTGCTTCTAAAGCCAGGGTACAACCACATGGTCCTGAAATTCTCCTATTCTTGGTTAATCCTAAGGCTGGATCCAGACAAATATTTGAAATAAGGCTGGAAATATTTGAAACATGAGGCCATCTCCTCTTGCTGCACCTACATCAAGGCTGCTTTCATAAAGCAATTGGACTCCTTTGGTTGCTAAGTGTTGCAGATGGGCACATAACTTTTTACTGTAGCATGATTACCTCACTATTTTTCAAGATCATTGCAAGGGGTGCAATGCAGAAGTGAACCAACCCATTCAGAAAGATTGTGAGACTTCTTGATACAGCTACAGCACCCGAGAAAAGCTGAGTGGTTGCAGCATGCAGAGAAAAAATACAGTGCAATAATCAAAATATTCAGGGAGGAAGGCTGCAGGGTAATTTGCAGAGCAGGCTGTCCTATCTGTACTTGCCTTTAAGGGGTGTCCTATTCACACCATGGGATAGCAGGTAACATCTCACATGAGGCTCATCAGGTGGGATATACAACTGGACAACAGCCTGTCTCTGGCTCCAGCCAGGATGGATGAGGGGCTGGAACATTTGGTGTGAGCTCAGATTTGCAAAATATGGGGGGTGGACACAACTTGGAATTTGCCTCTGAGGCAATCACTACCAGTATACCCACTCCTTCCTATCTCATAATAATGACAGGTGGGAAATTCAGGTGCTATGGTTTCTATTCCAGCTTTCTTCTTGTATTTCCTAAAGTGTGAAGGAGGCCAATTCAGGATGCACAAGTATTTCCTCAGTATGCTCTTAGACCTACACACTAACACCAGAAACATGAAAGCTTGCTATAGGTTTTTATTACCCAAATATTTCTGCAATGGCTTTTTAGTTTTGATTTCGGACTTGAAAAATTTTGAAAAGTGCTGAGCTAGGAGAGTGGGTAGAGACAAGTGAAAATGGTCAAAGAAGGAGGGGAAACCATCCATCAAGTAAAATCTATTCTGATATTTTATTCTGAGTTATTTTACTTGTTTTATCTCAAGAATTGTAAAACTGTAAGACAGAAACCTGAAAACACATTTGTCTCTCAAATAAATCCTGCTCTGCTACAGTGGCTGAATTAGGAGCTAATTAAGTAGTTATGATAGTCTTCCAAACTCCTTTTTCTTTTTTCTCTTTTATATGGTGAACTTCAGCCCACATTGCAAAGATTAGAGCTCTTCTGACTTTAAATTGAAGCATCAAAACTGTATTTCTGATTGAAACATTAAATATACAGAAGATCTAGATGCCTTTGCAGTCTCAGATGCTACTTCAGCTAATCTAGGCACTTTACCTCAGCATTTCATGCCAGAGTTACTCAATAGTACTTTAGAAAGAGAATTGCTGGAGGGTTTTATGCACTAAGTGGGCAGTGAAGAAACAGAGGAAAAAATAAGTCACCTTTTTGCACAGACAGAAGTGAGCACGTTGACTTTGATTCCTGATGGAAGGGTCTTACATTTCAACATTTCGTGAGCTTTGCTCCTTGAGAAATGTTCGCTGTTGTGGAGCTCTTCACACAGTCAAGCACAAGGCTTATTATTGCCCACAGTCAGCCTCTGGGGGGCTGCATGACACTGAATTTCTGACTCTGTTTCAAACCCTTTTTTCCCTTCAGGGGTTTCTTTGGATCCATGGAGACTGAAGGCACTCCCCAGCATGGGAGGCAGGCATCGCTCAGCAAGCAGGGCTGTTTTGGGGATGCCAAACCCAGCTCCAGGAACCACACACACCACAAGGCTCCTGGCAGTGAGCAGGAAATGAGACAAACAGTATATTCATGTTTTTAAAGAAAATGTGCTGCTGTCTCTGCTGAGAAGCGTAAGGAGGGTTGTTTTTTAACTTTTTTTTTCTTTTAAAGCCATCAGCAACTGTTGTCCGTAACCATATGTTGAACAGTCTCTGCGTATGATCTTCCTACACCTCTCTCACATTTCCTGGTGAGGCTGCCCTGCTTGTCAAGCAGCCAACACTCTCCAGCCATCACTGATGGCCAGAGACTTGTCTTGAGCTTTTACAAATTGCCTCTTGAGAGCTTCACAGGTCACAAAACCCTGAGTTAATCCAGAGGTGTTGATTTGTTTCTGAGGTTCAAATAAATTCTTTGGTTTTTCCTTTTCTCACCAAAATTTTGACCTGAATTATGAGAACACAGAGAAGGAAATGTAGTCCTATTACATCAGAAACAATGGTAATAGTTTGAAATCAGGCCACTTAAGGTGGAGTACTTTTTCCTCCACTAGCAGAGTGAATCTTCCTTTTTTTCCAACGCAAGTAAAATATTCTTCTAACATTGTGCTCAACTTATCTTGTTCCTCTTGCAGGCCAGAGAGTGAAGGAGGGAGAAAGAGAGTTAGTATGAAAAAAAGAGAAATGTTGGAAGAGGTTGGGTTGTTGTTTCCTGTTCATGCTTCTGCTCCCTTTCTCCATATATTTATTTATCATCCTCTAACTACAGCCACCCAATAAGTAAGGGACACATTTGCAGTGTTCCCCTCATACCTGTCCACATGTCACTGTATAGACCCTCGTCACAGCTGTGCTTCATCCCCGTCCCTGGCAGTGTTCTAGGCCAGGTTGGATGGGACCCTGAGCAACCTGCTCTAGTGGGAGGCGTCCCTACCCCACGGCAGGGGAGGGTTGATGATCTTTAGGTTAGATTATCTTTAAGGTCCCTTCCAACCTGAGCCATTTTATGATTCTATGAGTATATCAGCTGTGGGGAAAATTCCTGTACTGCAGAGTCATATCTTGCACACTGCAGCCATGTTAATGCCTAGTACTAAACAAAAGTTACTAAAGGTATTTCATCACTGTCAATTTACCTTCAACAACAACAGCAATATGGAGGCTGGGGATACCCTGAGTGTTCTGGAGTCCATATCTGATTGGCCATGCCTGATGATCCATTAGCAGGCTTCGTTGGCACAGTTTACAAATTTTCCAGTAAACCCCACTTACTTGTAGGTAAGAGAGAGTGAATACCAGCTGAATTAGAGATGTTTACCCTGGCTGGTAGAAGCTTTGGGAAGCCATGCAATTGGTACTGTGCTCAAAGGCTGCTCATCTTGCCAGCCCGTCTCCAGCTGCCTCTCCAGACAGGCTTGATCTGCTGTAGTACCTGTGTGATGTTTGCAGCCTTGTGGAAATGTATCATACCCTGAAGCATCTGAAATGGCTTCAAACACCTGTCTATGAGACTGAACTGAGCCTAGAAATCAGACTTGTCAAATTTAAGCCAACAATCTTTTGTTTTTTTATACACCTTTTATTTACTTGAAGATTGTTGTGTCGCTCCTCATTCAACTGAGAAAACTCTTGGATTTTTCTTACAGCTCATGTTTTCAAGTCCACTGACTCCTTTTGTGTTCTTATTTCCCCTTTCTTCATTCAGATCACATTTTCTTTCTTTTAAAGATGCTGTTCCAGACTGGATATGATGCACCACTCCTTGCCTTCATACCAGAAAGGGAGACTTACTCATTTTTTTCTGTCTTTCTTGTGACCTTCCCTTTATATATTTATCTCAGAATAAAGTTGTTCTTTCTGTATGACATTATTGAATTTAACTTTGTGATCCAACCTAACTTGCAGATCCTTGTGGCTGCTCCTACAGAAGCTCAGATTTTTTTTAATTGTCTTTGAGTTATTTTTCTGCCTCTATTTCTCCACTAATTGCAAGAGAATTTTGACAGTGATCCATTCCTCCAAAGTGCTGGCAGTCCCTTCCAGCCTGATATCACTGCAAATTCAATAAGTAGCACAACTACTCCTTCAGCCAGGTCATTAAAGTAGAATTGAATGGGACTGGGCTGATGTTTGACCCAAAGAGTTACTTTTCCAAAAAGTTTTGTACTTTTCCATAATTTGACCTAGACCAGACCTCAACAGCTTTCTTATGCAAGTATTTGGGAAATGCAGAAATGAATCACTTGCATGGGAAGGTCAGTAATATAATGAAAGCCCAGAAAGGCCAGGCCAAGTGATGTGGAAGTGGTGCTGAGGGCTCAGGCACCCGACAAGATAACAGCTGCTTCCTCTGGCTCTGACTGGAGTAGGAGCTCTCGGAACATCTTCTGTTTTTTAATACTGAAGCAACTCCATTGGTATCTGGAGAAAAATGGAGAAGGAGCAGCTCATTCTTATCATCTATGTCTCTTCTTATGGGACTCTCCTGCCTCTCCCGGCACTCACCAAACCTGTAGAAATCTCAATGGAACCTTGGATAGAAGAAGAAGGTACATGAGATAGAGTTACCTGGAATTTCAGTACTTGGCTGCTCAATTCCCTACTTCACTGTTTTCTAGATGTAAACCTTCAGTATCCTCACTGCCCAGTAGATAGCACAGAGGCCCTTCGGAGTTTCCACAGTGGGGTGTTTCACTGCTGAGGTGAGGTAATGCACAGAAATCCTATAGCCAAAAAAGGTCATCTAAGCAAACTTTTTTTTTTTTTTAGACAACAAAAGAAAGAAGGGAAACAATCTTCTTGAAAAACAAAGCTTTCCAAAGCTGAATTTCACAAAAATTCTTCTAAAATCTTGTACTCAGACAAAAAAACCCAAACCAAACCAAACCAAAACAATGCCTAAACAAACACCTTTACACAAAACACACCAGGAGAGAATGTTCCTGCTAAGTCACAAGACAGCCAGTAACATTTAACTGGATTCTCAAAGAAAAGGAAGAATATGGGGCTGAGTTATACCTACCCTCATTCACAATAAACTGTTCTCAGCCACTAATTAAAATGAGAAGCTTTTGTGGGCTTTAGGGCACAATCAGCTGCTTCAAAACTACATACTCTTCCTCACATATTGGGATATTTTTGGTGCTTGAAAAGCTGTGTTTTTAAGGAAAGACTCTAACCTAAATACTAGTTGTTTGAGGGGGGTGTTTGTTTGTTTGTTTGTGTTTATTATTATTATTATTATTATTATTATTTCAACTCAAAGTGCCATTTGGCTTCCCAAAGTAAACTTAACTGCAGGTTTTCTTCTGTTTTTTCCCCTTCCTACCAAACACTTCACAAGAGAAATTTCTTTTTGTACTCAAACAATATCATAATCAGTAACAATAATGTTCTTAACATCAGCTGATTTAGGTTCATTTTGGATAAAAAAAAAATCTCTTTGTTTTGCCTCATGGATTGTTCAGGAACTGCACTCTAAGCTTATCAAGGCTCTTTCTGCTGGCTGCAGCAGAAATCACACAAATTGAATTGAACCTGCCCTTTGTTTACTCGTGTGGCAGGATCCCCTGCATCTCTGCTGTATTTCACGCAGTAGGAAGTCAGCGTGGACGTTCCAAGGTCAATCTTGCTGCTGAAGACCAATGGATCTCCTGCTGGGTAGGTGTCACAAGTTGAGTTTGTAGCAATGCAAACTTGTCAACTGCTGAGGAGGCTCCGGCAGTTTAAGTGCATTTGACCAGTGAAGACCCTCACTGCCTCGAATTCATTTGCTTCTCTGCAGGGGGTAACCAGGGAAAAAAGGATGAGACAGATGCAAGTGAAAGAATCTGTGAAATTGTCAGTTCTCTTATCAAAAAGGCAAGAGGAGAGTAAAGTGGGCTTAACCTGCAGCCTTGGATCTCAGCTCAACAAGCTGCTAGGGAAATTAGGATCTGACCTGAATTAATCTCCTATGCAGAGGAAAAGGCTGTGTGAGGCACCTGGGGCTTGTGTTTCCACTCTGTAGTGTCTATTGCTGATGAGTTTAGTGGTAGGAGAAAAACAATTAAAGTTTATTAGACCTGAATTTCAAAATAGACGAAAAATTAACTTCAGCACTGATACATGGAGAAAAGAGTTTGGGAATAAGGATTCATGAAAACAGGTCCCTTGGAGGGGCTGTCACCGGGTGATGTGCATGAACATGGGGCAGAACGTAAGCAGCTTGAAAGCGGCAGAACTGCATAAAAATGTCACTGTGCTGGAATCAAGAAGCCCTAGTTTGTGACTTTTTGGTGGCAATTACCTTCACCCAGTCAGCCTCTTAATACAGTTATTCTGGTCATGAGACAAATGTAGATGTCTCTCCATTGACCTCCACTGCACAGCACAGAAATGGAGAGGTGATCAGCCATGCTCATTGTTGAATTTATATATATCAAAAGAGCTTTGTGAAGAAGATCAGTATTTTACAGATGTGTAAACTGATGCAGGACTTAATAAGGAGGTTATCCAAGTTTTCCAGTGGAGCAGCATCAAAGTCAAGGCTGGAATTGAGAATGAGAGAGCATAAGCACAACAGGTTCTTCCCAGATCATATTCTGCTGTAGGATGCCAGAAAGTCCCCTGGGTTCTATTTTAAGGCTATCACAATATGTTTCAGTTCAGCATGGTAATAATGAGTGGATTTTTTTCCTGTTATTGTTATTATTTGCTTCACTGCACTTACATATCCTGCAAGTGTCCATTTTAAGTTGTTTTAGCAAAATGTTTTATCATGTATTTAATTTTAAGCATATGCTCTGAATGCCCAGGAACCATAAAAGCATTTAAACAGCATGTTCAAAGTTAAGCAGATACTTCACTGAACAGCGATGGACAACATGTGCACTAAATATTCAGTAAGTATGTGACTGTTTTGCAGAGTAAGATGTACATAAATGAGAATAAATCTTTACATTTTAGTTCAATAAGTATGCTTCCTGTGACTGCAGAGGATTATACCAGGAGCTGGCTTTAATCTTAAGAATTTCTTAGACATGTGCAGTCTCAGGCACGAAGCAGGAGGTTGATCTCCTCACTGCCTGGATGTGGATCACCTGCATTGGTCCATTCAATTCTGTATCAGCCCTGGCTCTCTGGGGTTTGAGATTTGATATCTGGTCCACTGAGTATGGCACATGTGATCCTGAAGTGGGGAAAGTGATGATGTTGCCCTAAGACTTATGTTGCAGGGACATATCATAGTCTTCTAAACTTCTTAAACTTTTAAAGAAAGCTTGTGATCCTCATACACCCCAGGTTTACCACTCTCATATGACATTAGTGTAGAAGAATCCACATTTTGAGAAAGACCTTGGATGTATATTTAACTACCAAAGCTGCCTCTGTGGGAAAGGGAAGAGCTAAGCAACCCCAACCAGCCATTGCATCCCAAATTTCAAATGGAGAAGGGACTACTTGCCTCCAGTTGTTATGGTTTTGGCTCAGGATTGTGTGGCCACCTGCAGCCTAGATGGGTGAATTTTGCTCTCCAGGTAAACACAGGCTCTGGAGAACCCTTTTTCTAAAGGTCTCATTCGAGGCTGTAGTCAATAAGTGGGTGAAATATGTGTCTACTTAATGATGGTGAAAATTGAAGGTGTCGAGTAAAGCAGTTGTAATTGCGTTTAATGCTGAGACAATGAACCTAGTTAAGATTCAATTTGATCTTCCCTTTTGTTCCTCACTTCCAGTAATAAATGGTTAATTACAAGTTTCAAAGGCTCAGTGCAATTTGACAGCTTGCAGAAATCACAGTGATCACCGTACCGTCAGGAAGAAGTGTGACTCCTTTGTTTTTCCAGATGAAAATATTTATTCTTTTACTGAAAATGCTAAGCAATCTCCTGGCTTGAAACTATCAAGCCATAGCCTCTCCCCTCATGTTTGGCAGGGGTGGGAACTGACAGGATGTGTCCATCTGCTGAGTGCTGTGAACACAGGCCTCCCACATCGCAGCCACAACCTCTGTGCTGATGTCTGTGTGACCCCTTCTGCTCTGCCACCACGAGGTACCTGGTAGGGCAAAGGCCAGTTCCAGACCTGTTCCATCACCATGGGATAGGGCAGCCCCTCAGTAAGATCCCACATTTGAGCCTCATTTGACCTAATTTGTAGCTAAATTTGCTCTCTAAGCATTTCTATTGCCAAAACTTTCGAAACCTGCAAACCCAAATCCACTCAACTCCCGCCTGATCCATATTTGCTTAGAGGAAACACCAATATTCCCATGGATGACTGGGCTGAGATCCTCCCTTTGCTCGAAGCAGTGACCCCTGCATTATGGAAGTGGGGTATTTTAAAAAGTCATTGCAAACCCACAATTCATTTGTTATTGCCTATGTTTAAAGTGTTCAGTGGATCCTGGGGGAACCTCACCCTGTAATTTTCACAGCTTGGGGCAGAAGCTGTCAAGTAAGCTAGTTGCATATATGGCTGTTGACTAGTATTGTAGTCCCACTTAATTTGAGCATTACAGTCAGGATTTCTTTGTTGCTTTATTTATTAGAGATCGCTGAAACAGACTGAATTTGCACAATCAGGCACAGGACATCAGTGTTGTACTTTTGTTGCCTTTGACATTCATGGAGATTTCCTGCAAACAGCAGTAACTGCTGGTTTTCTGAACCAAAGACACTGTGAGCACTAAATTAACAGCACCTTGCTATGAAAATGCTGAGTGCATTTTAGATAGACAGTAGTACTCATATATTCTGTTTTACTATATATTTTACTTCAAAACTCCAGGTGCTTTAAATATATGGATGTAAAACGTAATGACTAAAAAAGAAAAAGTCTGAGGAGACAGAGTGGGGCATAGAAAAAACACAGTACAATTTCCATTTTGTACCTTGCTCCTCTTTTTAGGCTCCAAGTTTCCTCAAGGAAGTAATCTGCTGACTGGGATTATTACTCAAGATAGTTTCCTCAAATTTAACAATCTTCTCACTGCGGGACAAAGAAAGGGAAGGTTGTATCCCAGTAACTGGGAAATGTGTGGCAAAGTCAGGGTAGATACTAATCTGCTGATCCTAGTACTTTACTGCACAAAGCCCACGTGTGCAAAAGGCATTTGCATATTTTCTCTGTCCCTGGCCAAATCATACTAATAAGACAATTACAATTGCACCTTCTCCCTTGCAGCTGAGAAAGAAATAAACCCAGAGCCACCCCCTTCCCTTTGCAAATATTCCCCTAACTTTTAGAAACACTGACAAGCACCATCCAGGTCAACAAATTTAGGAAAACTCAAAATTAAGATGCAGTGTCACTGAGCTGTGTTCTCAGAGTTTAACAAAAGAGATTACAATTTAATAATCATAGTTCTTGTAAGTTGCTTGTAACATCGAATAATAGGGCTACTCAATGTTGCTGGTTTTTCTCATTCATTTCATCTCTTAGCCTGTCCTTCTACTTATTTCCTGTTCAGCATAGTATTTAAAGTTGGTATAATGGATTTTCTGCAACTGACCCATAAACAATTAAGCAAGGGGTGCTTCTCTTAGGGAATATATTTGATTTATAATCATTTTTCATCATTAAACCCCCTAAAAAGCCCCAAATAGCACCCATTTATCTTAAACTTTTGGTACCTCCTTGAACTACAGAGTTTCCACTCTAGCTCATCTTCTGTTTGTAAGGTAGAATGCCTCCTCAAGCCTTAACTGATTACCAAAATGAGAGCTGAAAGCAAAACAAGAGGTATCATTACAATCTTGAAGGCAGAGTGCAGGAGCTGTCTGCAATCTAATGACTTTTGCAATTACACCTTGACTGAACCCAACGATGAAGTTGCAGCCCTTTCCTTGAGTGCTGTTGTGGGTATTTACTGATGAGTAACAGGTACTCATCAACATGCCGTGACCCAGATCTGACTGAGGATTATAGTTTGCGCTGGTGAGAAAGGGGAAGCCAAGACTGGGGGAGTGTTTGCCTAGGTTCTAAGGTACTTTGATTTTCCTTGTGTTCTTTTTGGCAAGTGTCTTGCATTAGACTTGCAGTCAACCAGTAGAGAGTGAGAAAGTTATCCAGCATTTTTCCTTAAACAAATACTGCTTTGGTAAGAGCCTAGAAGCCTTTGTCAGGAATAGGTCCCAAGAAAAAGCATTTTCTGCATTCCAGAGTAAGCTCCTAAAGAGCTACTACCCAGAGAAACCAGTCAGGGAAACATCTCATTAAGATCCTCTTCACTCTGAAGGAAAATTGAGGTTTGGGAGCATAAATGTCATGGAGAAGATACTGGACCAGAACTGAGAGGAGAACCTACTTTTTTCTAGTTTTAGATGAACTCCATGTGGTATGTGAATTTGGCAGGGAGGATTGTCTTATGCTCCTTGACACACACCAATTCCAGATCTTGGCTCCATTTCCTATCTGTGGCCTATGGCTGCCTTTAACCCTATTTTAAGTGTGTTATGATTTTTTTTCTCCCACGGTTGTAGACAATTCTGAGTCCTCACAGCCCTGAATGGGCTGAAATGCTCATTCCTTTCTTGAGATCTGATAGCAGGTCCAGTCATACAACATAGTGTAAAAATAACCCATGTCTACTGGAACTCCTTTGCTTCTCAGGTCTGAGTCTGGGTCTGCTGGAGACCAGTTATTATTTTTCATTTACTGTGATGCACTTTGGGATAGGCATTAAACTGCTGCCATTTCTGCTCTCCTCTTTCTGCTGTCACTGTTACTTTGTCAAACATGTGGAAACATCATGTTTTTAAAAATCAATAGCTTTTAGAGAAGTAATGAAGGAAACCTATGTCACCAGCTTGGAGAGATGGAGGAAGGATTTAAAGGTGTGAAGACACTGACTAACAAATCAGTCCTTCCCTCTGGTCTGCTGTCACTGAAGTCCAGATGGTACCTGAGCATCCCAGAGGCTGAAGACAAAGACCCCCCAGTTCAGACAGACGGTTCATTACGGTGCAGAGCGAGGACCAGCTGCACAGAGGAGCCTGTCTATTACCTTGCTGCTACAGCTGCTTCCTGCTGAAGTCTGCTACGTGCCCACTGCTTTGGTAAAGGTTAACTTGTGATGGGGAGTTTTAATTGTCTATTATCTGCCCAGAAGGAACAAATTATCTTAAACAGAGCAAGGCAAAAATCTTCTTTTCCTGGCTATTTTTCTGTTGTTGTTGTTGAGTATTTTTGAAAGAAACACATACATCAGTCAAAATCATGAATGAACAAAAGAAAGATAACGGCAGTGATGTGTTCATTGAGGAAGGAGACCTTGGGTCACGCAGATCCACCAGCAATGAATCTAAATAAAGTCAGGGAGAGTATCACTGACTACTGCAATTATTATTGCTGTGATTGATAATGTAGTTGTTCAGCTAATGTGACGATGTGCGTGGTCTGAAGGTCAGCAGCACAGCTGGTGAGGTGGAAAACCATGCTGTTGTGATGGGATGGGCTGATGCTTCATGGTCTGATACACAGCTCTTGTAAATCAAGATTGATTTGCATTACAGTGCCCTGATCCTGTGCTGTCCTGTATGTGGTAGCTCTGCAGGATTGGTCAGAAGTTTGTCCAACTTCAGCCTTTCAAGTTGAGTTGCTAACTTTTATTGATTCCTTCCTTTAGTTTTAGATGGAATTTAGGTTTCAGAAGAGAAATAAAATGGATTTATCTGTTTCCCTCAAAAAAATAGTAACATAAGAAATCCTTTTGTAGGGATATGACTAGTTTTACTTACTTCTGAGGAATACAAAGAGATTTAATAAGTGATTTGGAGAGGAGAGTAGTGTAGTGAAATTTCTGGTAGTTCATTCACTCATGGGCAAAACAGAAAGAGGTGGGAGACCTGAAGTGAATGCTAGATAACCTGTAATGATGAAGAAAAGAGTACAGAATATTAAAACATAAATTGTGCTAAGGACATCTTTCAGTGTAGATTTATATATGTTTTATTGCAGGAGTTCAAAACACTTAAGATTACAGATTAAGTCAGTGATTTAGAAGCACAGAGTAATGTACATATGACATAATTGAAGAACAGAAAACTGGTGAAGGAATATAAAGGAGCTCTATGCTTTTCTGTTCCCACAGACATGACTCTCATATCCAGGTATAACCCATTGCTGTAGTTCAAACTGAGAAGAGCAGGAGAGACATGGGCATTTTTTTTGCAACTGCTGAATGCAGGGCAGAGCAAGGCACTCAGAAAGAATAAAGAACTGGAAACTCTTTCCACAGTAGCAACTGTAATTAGCATTTTCTTATTTATTATACATAATCAGCAACAGGAACACGAAGTAAGGTTTGTCCCTGAGTTACAGCCTGATTTGGTAAAATGTCTGAATGTGCCAAATGTGTAGTTACATTGCACAGATGAGCATTTTCTTTTGATTCTCAAATTTCCTTTCTGGATGTTTTGAGACCTCATATATTTGGGACAAGCTTTCTTCTGGTACTAAATTATTCAGGCTGAAATCACATAAAAATAGAAGATTGGACAATTTTAAAGGTAACTAGAAATCTGAATACCATCTTTATTTATTATCAAATAGGGAACAAATTTGAAGCTGCTTTACTGCATTGTTGTATAAATATTGACTAAAGTATTGCTGTACAAGGAAGTTATTACTCAGTCCTCTAAAGACAGAAAGAAAGAATCTTTCATTCATTTCATTGTATTGCCAGAGTCTTAGAAGTCATTCATTCTAGGAAGAAAAGACATTTTACAGGTAATTTACTGTATTTGTGCCTTCTGTCCCATGGGCTATAATGCAGGAAAAAGTGTCAGCTTGTGCTTCCAGTTTTCATTTGTCTTAGATTATTCCATCCTCCTTCTTCAGTGTAATCATTATACTCCGGTTTGGCTCCCTGCAGAGAGCCTGAATGGTATCACTTGCATTTAAGGCTTTCTTCACCTAAAGGATCTTTTCTGTTCCTGGAAATAAACATTAAAGCCAAGAGAATATTTGCTGTTACAGTGGAGACAGTTTTCTGAGATCTGTTTGTACTCTCAGGAAGGAGAGGGGTACTGTGGTGGTGGGTCCTCCTCATCACAGGCCGTTGCTACACATGGAGAAGGGCCAATGGAATAAAGACACTATTTCTGAATTTGAGATGCAGACAAGTCTTTTCCTGTAAAAAGTCAAGAAGTTTGTCTTTGTAGACACTTATATATGTAGGATTCATCAATTTGTCAGTGTCTTCTGTTAAACTGAACACAATACCACATGCAAGGTTGTGACAGTAAACCATCATGGAAACCACTGTCTCTTATGAACCAAAGAAGAAAACCTTAGTGAAAACACAAAAGTGGCCCCCAACATCCTCTTAAGGCTCTGCCACTCAATTGCTGTATGAGTTCAGCTTTTCACATACTGGAAATATAAAGCTCATAAAGTATCAGTCCCCCACACCCTGGAACACAGGCACTTTTGGGAGAAAAACTGGTGGTTATTTGAAACTATGATTAAAGATGTGGGTGATCTCTGTGTTATTTTCAGTTAAAGCAGTCAATACCTTTGGCCCAAGAGAGAAGAATCCCATTTATGGACTGGATTCACAAGTGAGTGTGTGCAACCCAGCTGACAAACCATTGATGACTCTCCTCAGTGAACCTGTCAGCAGGACAGATGTTGTAAACTCCTTCTAGGTTAAAAAAATCCATTAAAATGGTCACCTCATGCTGTTTTTGTGGACAGATGTTATTTTTCTACTGAGGGTTCAAAAATATTCCAGGTGTTGTCCTGCAGACAAAGGTCCTTGTCTCCCAAAGATGCTAATACAGAAATCAAATGTGTGACGTTTCTGGAGGGGTTTGTGGAAAGTGGGGGGCATCTCCTCCCTGGGCAGGCAGGGGCAATGCTTTGTTTCTCAGTAATTAAAAGCATGACTGAAAAGATGCTGTTCAAGGCAGCCCTTTGGTCACCAGGGAACTACCTTTTTGGCAGTGCTGGCCACAGACTGCTACAGGAAAAGTCCAGGCCCCCCCAGAGGCCTGTTGTTTTTTTTTTTTTTTTTAATTTTCTAGAGGGAAGAATCCACAGCACTGCATTGTATGGATCAAGCTGTGGGATCGTCTGCTCATGGCTCTCTAACTCTCCTATGTCTCTGTTCACCATGTAAAAAGAGGAGCTAACAGTCATGTTGTACATGTTTTGTAGTAAAAGCATCTCTAGCTGTAGGCACACAGAACAAGAGGATCCCACCACTGGCCAGAAATCCTTGCTGCTTCTGACACATTAGAGGGGGATCAATGGTTAACACATCTACGACCTTCCCCTCAAAAGAAATGTGAAGTTTTTCTATGTGCATGGGAAAAACTGTCTTCTGCATTGAGAGAGCAGAGAAAGAGAGATAAAGGCAAAAGAAAAGCATTGATGGGGTATGGGGTGAGCTCATATCAATAATTCCATTCTAAAATGGAAGTAGGAACTGTCAGAGGGAATTCAGTGCCCCCATTTCTTACCTCCCTGGAGATTGGACCTGGCAGATGACTCTTGCAATGTCAGTTTGCAACCTTGTGTCCCTGCCACAGCCTTGTAGAGCTTTGGCATATGTCTCAGCACACACCACTCTGTTAAGCCACACAGTTGTTTTAACATTCTCCTGAACTGTTTTCTAGGGTAGAGTTAAGGCTTTTTCAATGTCTTAAGGAGCAAGGTTATAATATTTCATAAATGTAATGTATATATAAATATGTTTATAATATTTTTCCTTGCTGGAATATTCCTTCTGGGATAGTTTATTTGAAATGTACGGGATAATTTCTCCACCTTTGGACAAATGTAATTTTTTTATCTTCTTTCTGTGAATTCTATTCTATTCTATTCTATTCTATTCTATTCTATTCTATTCTATTCTATTCTATTCTATTCTATTCTATTCTATTCCTTATGCCATGGTTACCCCTGGAGATACCATTACCTCCAGTACCAGCTGACACTAAGTGCCCTTACTAAGCCCAGAGTCTGAATTTAAAGTGGAACTGAAGAGTAACATGACACATACCCAACTTCAGCTCAGGGTATTCTGTTCCTCCCACTCAGCAGCTTCTCACCCTGTTGTCTTTCCCCAGAAAGGTGTTAGACCTCAGTAACTCTAGCTGAACTCTGCAGGTATGGAGCCCTGGAGACTGAGCTCACAGTTAAAGCAGGGCTTTGTTCTCAAGAGATGTCAGCATGAGGTCATGCCGTGTTACAGCAAGAAGGTTCATGATGCCACCTTAACAAGGTAGCCCTAAGCTGTGTTTCAGGGCATAAAAGGACTGGAACAACTTGGAGGAAATCCATCAAATAAGATGAAAGAACATCACAGACACACACACAAAAAAAAAGGAATGAAAAACCCACTGTGATATACTAGGCTATGAAGCACAAAAGAAACAATGAAAGTAGTAACTTCAGAGAGTGCTATTCCTTTTTCAGGCCTGTCTTTGATCTTTCTTTTTGATTCCCTCAAGGGTGTCTTCACAGCCCTTGGATGTAGAATTGCTGGCACTGAATCTTCACCCATGTGATGGCCAAACAGACCTGCCTGCCCGTATGATGTACTTTTGCTATGGCACATCTGCAGCCTCCGAGCCAGCCACAGCCCCTGTAGTGCATGCAGAGCGCAGGTAGATGCCGAGTTTCAGAAAGGAAGGGCTGCCCTTACCCAGCCTTGGAGCACAGGCAGTTTATAAACTGTTCCCTTTTCCTGTGCCATTGCTGCAGGCTGGTCATAGTGTTTGTGCTTAGCATCTTCTGGGCTTCTTTTCCTAGGGCAAGCTCATGCACATCTTCACAGACCTCACACATTCTGCCTGCAATGGGACTCCCACAGGAGCATCTGCATCTACTGAGTAGCTAAGCCCAGAGTTTGGTCTTTCTGGAAAAACAGCCTTGGGATTGTTTCTGGTACAGTTTTAGAAAGAAAAGAAGAGGTCAAAATTATCCTTAATACTTAAAATGTAGTACTGATAGTGGATTCTACTGTCTGTTCCTTGCTTGCTGTTTACCGAGGAGAAGGACTCAGAGAGTAAGTCATCCCAGATCGCAAAATGAAACCACTCCGACTGTGGTAGGAAGGTGAGCACCTCTGTCCCATGACCATGACACAGTGCATGGGCTGTGATGAGCACAATGAGACCTGGAGAGAAAATGAGGCTATCCTGACAAATTTCAGCCTTAAGTGCCAGTAATGAAGCCAAACCTCTCTGTTTCCACCCCTGTCCCCTGCATGACTCAGGTGTTGCATATTCCAGATTTATTGTCTTTCATAAAAGTTTCCTGGGATTTAATAGAATAATATAATTCTTTAGGTCGGAAAAGATTTTTAAGATCATCAACTCCAACAATTAATCTAGCACAGGTGTTCAGCCTGGAGAAAAGGAGACTCAGGGGAGACCTTATCACTCTCTACAACTGCCTGAAAGGAGGACGTAGACAGGTGGAGGTTGGTCTCTCCTCACAAGTAGCAAGTGCCAGGACAAGATGAAATGGCTTCCAGTTGCATCATGGGAGATTTTGATTAAGTATTAGGGAAAAAGTCTTCACAAAAAGAGTTGTCAAATATTGTAACAGGCTCCCTGGGGAGATGATTGATTCAACATCCTTGGAGGTATTTGAAACACATGTAGAAGGGCTGCTTAGGGACATGCTTTAGTGGTGGACTTGATAGTGTCAGGTTTATAGCTGGACTTGAGGTTCTTTTCGAAACTAAATGTGTCTGTGATTCTGTGACTGCTATTTCCAATCAGTTCTGCTAAACCATTTTGCCTGCCATTCATTTTACAGCTGCAAAAGGACAGTATTTGAACAACCAGCTGAGCTTCCACTGAGCAAGAAAGGAAGTTAGAGCAAACCCTGTAAACCAATGTTTGATTAATTTCAGCCGGCTTTAATTAAGAAGTTCTCCCTCCTTAGTTAATTATGTGTTTTCTGAGAAGCGGATTTGGTTATCTGAAATCAAACAAGGGATGGTGTTTCTGTCATCTCATCAGTAGAGGGTATACCAGCTCTGGGAAGTAAGGCAGTATTAACAAGTATATATAGAGAAACACACTCCCACCAGGCACTAATAGGATCCATCTTTAATATTTGAATTTCCTCTAGTATACTACGTATTGTAATGTACCGTCTTTTGTACTTAATGCTTTCTGTTGATTGCATTTTAGTCTTGTGATGGTGCTCTGTGTAGAAAAGAGGATTATTTTGAAGTAAGGTAGGGCTCAAGCTTGAAATTTCTGGAACAGACATGCTTTTATATGCATTATTTTCAAAGCACCAAAACATTTAGCTTCCAGTCTCTGAAAATCTCTCTCTTTTCATTTTTAACCCAAGAAGTGCTGAGTCTTTCCTTCCTTTGGGGATCAGGATCTTTTAAAATAGGCTATAGAGGCATTCAGATATCAAACCTTCTAAATTAACAGTAATTCCTGAAAATTTAGACCATGCTTAGGAAAAGATATCTATGCTCTTCATCTGCAGCAAATGCATATGTATAAGTTGATGCTGTTAGTGACTTGATTATGGTGCAGAATAATCAAACCAAAATTTTTGGTCCTGTAAGTTATCAACCTGACTGACAAAGAGAATGCAACAGATGAATGACAGAAACAAAACAGGACAGCATAGGAGGTTGAACTAAAATGTGATCACCAGGACAGCAGGAATCACATGGACCACTGCCTGTTTATTCTCCCTAGGCTCTATAAATATGTCTTTCTGCAACAAATGCGGACCATAGAAAACTGCAAATCTCCACTTTTATGGCTTTGAATCTTAGCTGTGAATTGAATAATTTACATTACTCAGCAGTGAAATGGTGCAAAGTTGTTTGAACATGGAGGTAAATGCGAGTCTTTTATAAGAGAAACACTTTGCAAAAGAAAGGTGTAGGAAAGTCAAGATGTGTAAGCAAGACACAGAATAACCTCAAGGGTGATGTGCTTAAGCTTCACTGAATAAACAACAGAATGATTTGATATCCTTCCCAATAAACTTTACAAATAGTACTGCATGTCTGGACGTATTTCATACTCTCAAGCTAACAGTGTGTCAGAAGTGGCAGCATTCACGCCAAGACTCCACTCAGCCACGTTCCCTAGTTAAGTGCAGGGACAGTAAATTTCACAGCATCTTTAATCTTTGTCTCAAGTGTAAATAGCTTCACTTGGGCTTTAACAAAAAAAAACAAAAAAAACCCCAAACAAACAAAAAAATTGAAGTCCTTGCCTTTTTGATGGTTTAATCTCAGTGCTGATGCTTGTTGATGGATCAAACGCTCAGTCCTCTATTTTTAAATCATTTAACTGGTTCAATAACTGTCTTAGCCTTTGCGTTGATAGTTAAATCAATTCTTAAGAAAGAAAATAAGCTTGTCAGTGAATCATACCCAAAGGTCTACCTTTCCTTAGAGCCAGTTGCAGTTTATATAAAATAAATCAACTCTGAACTTTCTCTGAAATGAAAAGGAATGAAGAGAGCAAAAGCAAGAAAAACCAGAAACAGTAATGGGTTAACTGTTGCCATCCTGGTACCACAGCGTAGATTGCCATAGACAGTCATATCTCTGCCATTTACAGTGAGTGGCTGCCATCACCATGCCTGTCCATTTAAGTATCTTTACAAGCAAAGCACAGTTGTATGAAGTAACATTGGACAAGAAAAGTTAAAATGTTTAGAGATTCCTTAGACCTGAGCTGGACATCCTTGCCCAGGAGAAACCTCCATGGGATTTGAATCCACAGAAGGACCTCAGCACTGGAAAATGTTTCTGTGTCCTGGGCAACACTGTGATGGACATCAAAGAAGTCCTAGATCTGTTTGATAGGGCAATAGAGTAGACTGCTCCTATATTGCTCAATAATTAAGTTTTTCGTCTTTTCCTAAAAGTTTAGTCTGCCATGAGATGCCAGGGGAGGTTTATGAAGGGGTGCCTGAAAGACACTTCCAGATGAAACTTCTATTGCAGTGGTTCCTGGAATTGCAGGGCATTGGACTTGAGGACATAATTGTAGGGACAAACTGAGCTAGAAACAGAATACAGAGAAATGTTCCTATGTCCTCTAAAATAAGACATGTTAATCACTTAGTGTCAAAATGAAGAAAAGACAACAGAGTAAGATTAAAAGTGCATCTTCCTGCTGTCACTTTTGCTGTCAGATACTAAATCTCTTTGTGCCTCACTTTTTCAGTTGCAAAATGAAAGGTTTTCTTTCAAAACTTTAACTTCCCCTGCAAATGTCTTCAATTTTCCTTTCTTTTGAGGGACAGAGATTGAAATAATTTGACAATTTATTTCTTTCCTTCACAATTGAATGAACTATAAACATTTATTTCTATGGTTGTCTTCCTTGGTCTCTACAGTTTTTCACAGATTAGCAAAAAGAAGTTTTGTGACTTTATCTTGTTTGCAAAGTTTAAAAAAGCTTTATAGTGGAGAAATTTAAAAAAAAAAAATGGAACATAGCATTAGAAGGAGAACACAAGAAGACAATTTCAGCATTCTCCTTGATAAGGGAAACACTCCCAAAATGTAGTTTTTCTAAGATTAGGGAGAAAAATTATATTCTACCATTGGAAATATTGTTTGCATGCTTTTTTCTATACGAGCAAATACATACAATCTGAAGTCAGAATTTGGGCCACAATGCTTTTTCTACTGGAACATCCTTTTTTGAAATGAATCCTATAGTGCCTTCCAGTGACATCCTTTGGTCCTGCATTATAGCCTTGCTTGGAAACAGACCTCTTTAATAACATCAGCATTCCCAGAAAAATCCCTAAGTTATATATATATATATTTATTAAGCATTTGAACAGCATTATTTGCTTTTAAATGAAGAAGGATTTTAACTTGTTGCTTCCAATTAAAATAATAATAAACATTTTCCCTGATGATAATGACATACAATAGTGTTAAATTGGAAATGCAAAAGCTTTTTCTGTTGGTACAGTGTAAGTTACAGTATCATTAAATATATAAGCAGCCATTTATTGCTTGTGTTATTTTTGAGGTGCTTAAATGAAAATTTGATTTGGCTCTTATTGGAACTCAATAAATATTCCTGTAATAGTCATAGGGTGTTTTAATGCTTTACAGAATCATTGTCATTAAATTGAAGGCAAGACACTGGACTTAAATGAAAGAAAAATGGAAAAACTCAATAAATCAGGATAATAAAAGTTTTTCTTTGTGTTGTTTGAAGTGTGTTGAAATGGATCTGTCTCTTAAACTGCCTTACAAAGGCCAAAGTAGCTTAATTGCTTTAGGGCTTGATTATGCCTGCATGAGTCACCTGTGGCAGTAAAAAACCACATTTCAGCACAGAAACTTGAGGATGAATTTTGCTGCTGTGTTGGTAGATTCCATCTGAAACAATGTTCAGGTAAGAACATCAAGGACTGGTGGAGAATGTGGAAGGCACAAGACTTGGGGATAATTCCTTGTAATTTTATATTGATTTTCTCCAGCTCCTATGGTTTACTCTGGCATCCACTGCCAACACACAAAGTGACCCTCAAGCACTTCATGAAATATGTCTTACGAAGTATATAAAGTGTATATATGACATGAGGTATATCTTAAAATGCATTGGTCAACATTATTCTCAAAAACACATTGATGCTCATAGGTGTGTCTTAAACATCTTAGAAGTGTTCTCTTTGTATGAACT